TGCCAGTCCTATGCTGGTGTTTACAGACCTGCCAGTCCTATGCTGGTGTTTACAGACCTGCCAGTCCTATGCTGGTGTTTACAGACCTGCCAGTCCTATGGAGAGACATGTATTTGTCAAACCTGTTTTCTGTGTGCTTATTCCAGTTAATGCCACTGTGCTTAAAATAGCTGCTGTTGCCACAGCCGTGCGGATGTGGAGGGAGGCTTCTCCAGGTGGGGCCGCTACGCCGGGGAGGCAGTGGGAGCTCTTGCTCTCTGTATTGTTCTGGAGTGGCATGAAGCTCCCTGGAAGTTAAGTAAAGCCTCCTTTGCTGCTGTCAGGAGACCTGGGAGGACCCCGGATGACAGAGCTCCTCTGTGAAGCCTGATCTGTAGACGTTGAGGCTCCACTGTAGAGTCTGAGCATCGCAGTTTTTATGAGACTGGAAGAAGTTGCCTTTTGCAAGTCTGGATATGGAGAAGGCAGATGGACATGCAAAGTTCTTCTGAGTAACGGTGCAGGGGTGGCTCCGAGGGTTTGGATGCTGTGCCTGTGGTTGAAGGGTCGCTGGTTCAAGGCCCAGGATTAGCAGAAGGGTGACCATGTTAGGCCCATGAGCCCTTAACCTGTTAACTGACTAAAATGTAAAGGAATCAACAGATACACTGCATTATGTTTGAAGTTGTAACTCAGATATTCCAAGTTCCTCGTTGGAAATTTCAACTGGAACCGTCCCTGAAGTCAGACATCCTACTCTGGAATTCAGAAGTATCTACAGAACCCTGACCTCAGAATTCAAGATGGCTGCGCCCTTTATCAACAGAAATTAAAGCTGTAGTTTTATACTGTTTATTAGCACTTACGTCTTATTTGTGGCTCATTAAATCAGTGTAACACACAGTACTGTCCAACCCATATCTGTGGATGTGTTGCTTTGGTGTTTTTATGTGCAAAATACTCTGAAATGTGTTATCAACTGTTATTGCTAACAATGGCTAACAAATAACAGGGTTAGTACTGGGTCTTGTGTCAGACAGCAGGATCTCTTGCTTAGCCAGATAACTTGTCGGATTTAAGGTAAACTAAATGTAAGTGAACGAAGATACAGGCCATTTAAGCTGGGGTAAATTAAATGCGACAAGTTATCTGGCTAAGAAAGAAATCCTGCTTGTTGAAACAGGTCCCAGGCATTGCTCAATGACTTTCCGACTGTACTGGAACATGTGATGTCATTCCCAGCTCTGACTTCTGACCTCTGAAGTAAATGGAACGCAGCATTATTCTGTGATGGGATTACTGTGATATCTCTGTGCTTTAGTGATATATGTTGACACTCCACAGCGGAGTGCAGGACCTTACCTGTCTCAGGTATTCCCTTGGTCTGGTCTGGAGAGCCTTGGCTGTGGGTGTTGGCAGTCGCTGGACGCTGTCCTCAGTCATTCTTCCCAAGAGTCTGCTACTCAGCCTCCAGTCACCAGTACCTACTGGAAACCTTAGTTCGGCTTTAAGGTTTATGTGATGTCTTTATGGAAGTCCTTTTGATAAGCTGCTTTGTTCTGTCCTAAAAGGATGATGGTACCCTCTGTAACTCCTTACATAATGGCGATAGTGTGCGGCTCAACAGGCTAGGATGCTGCATTTCTGATCGGTAGGTTAGTGGTTCAAGTCCCACCATAGACAGAGTGATTTTGCCATTGGGTGCTTGAGTAAGGCCCTTAACCCCAATTGCTCTTGGGACTGTCTGACGCTGCTGTCTCAGTTGTATGTAGCTTTGGATAAAAGGGTCTGTTGAATAAATGTAAGTCAGATAGGATCCTGCCGCCCCTTGAGACATTCTTGGGTGTGTTGAACTAAGAAAGGAATAATGAGATTTCTCTGGACGACATTCCTGAGAGTTTTGTATAACCCGAGCTTCATGCTGGAATGGGGTCTTCCAGAGCTGCACTACATTTTAGATGCTCACCAAGTTGCATAACTCTCGATCTTTAATGACCTCTCCTTTGCATTGTGACCTCTAATGACCTCTCCTGGGCTATGTGACCTCTAATGACCTCTCCTGAGCATTGTGACCTCTAATGACCTCTCCTGGGCTGTGTGACGTCTAATGACCTCTCCTGAGCATTGTGACCTCTAATGACCTCTCCTTTGCATTGTGACCTCTAATGACCTCTCCTGGGCTGTGTGCTCCCCAATGACCTGGGCCTCCTCTGCCCCCTGCCTGTCTCGTTTAGGAAGCCCCTCCAGAGCCGTGTCCACCATGTCCCTCACCATGCGCCCAACCCGGCGTCTGCTCAACAGGTCCATCTCTAGGAGCCAATCCTTTGCTGGAGTCAACACCCAAGACAAGCCCTACAGGTACGTTGACAGACCCCGCCCCCCATGTGGGCGTGTCCGAAAGATCACCGAACACCCCCCACTGATATCGAAAATGCAGCTCTTCCCAAGATGCGCAGCAGATTTTGTACCCAGTCGGTGCACTTTCTGTGCAGTTTATAAAAATGAATGGGTGATTGTAATACTGTGTGCTTGTGTAATCACAGTCACATGTTGCTATTGTGTGAAGGGAGATAAACGGACGGTTTGCTTTGTTATCTGAATGTCATGTTCCTGTCGGAGCTACAACTTCACACACATGGATCAGACCGAATGTCTCCTCATGCGACATGGAGGCACCCCGATGTCCAGAGCCACACCTGGGGGGAAGTGATGTCTGCCCCCTCACTTCCTGTCTGCTCAAGTCTCCCTGGGGCTCCTCTTTTGATCTTGGGGGGGGGGGGCACTTTAAGGGACTATTGCTGGTTTGATTGTTCAGGCCAGTTTCCTCCCTTTGAAACACATGGCGTATATCCACAGTGTTGCCTGGGAAACAGCCACACCACACTGGCTCTGTCCCTTTGCCCACTGATTCAGTGGAAAAACCTCATCGCCTGCGTGAAGCTTATGACCATCAGTGTGATAATCATGTAATAGACAAAGAAAATGAAGGCGAACCGAAATGAGTCAGCAGGACAGGAGTTCAAGCTCTGAGTCATACACAAGCCCTGAGTCATAGCCTAGAGTGAAGTTCTGACCCATCAACCCCCCCCCCCCACTAATGCACCAGCTGGGTATGCCTGTCACATCCCCATACAGCTGGTGTGGCAGAGCACGGAGGCTCTGTGATTGTTACTGTTGGTCCACTTCATCTGTGTGCTTGTGGAGTTTCTCCTCATGTCATGTTTCAGACCGATCTGGGGGCGGCGTGTGGCCTAGTGGGTTAGGATGTCAGCAGGGTGATGTCACCGTTGGGCCCGTGAGCGAGGCCCTTAACCCTCAGATCTTCCAGGGACTGTCTGACCCCTGCTTTCTTAAAAATGTACATTTTGCATTCAAGCCAAATAAATGTAAACTGAAAGGCATCTTTCTCAAAGTCGCATCAGTTGAGGTGTTGAAGTTGCATTTAATGCATCAGGCTGATGCAGGTCTAATGCGGGTGCAGGTGACTGCATTGGGGCTGGTTTTTAGGGTCAGTACTGTAGGGGTTTGGTACGGGGTACCCTCTCGCAGAAGGACATTCTCAAATCCAATTCAAATTCAGTACTACACTTTGCAGAGACATTATAAACAAATGACATGAGCGGGGATTGTGGGATCTGTCAGTTCAGCATGAAATGTTGTAGGAAGCGATTGTGAGACCTGAGGGAGGGTGATAGTGAGTGAAAAATGCAAGAAGATGCTCAAAGTAAATGCAGTAAAAGACGACTGTGAGAATCCTACTCAAACTCCTCATTGGATGGAGAATAAGGAGTCTGAACAAACCTGAATATATTTAACGTTTAAAGTTTTGTCATAGTGCTGGTATGTTTTTAAAAGGAACAATTAAAGTAACCTAAATAAGACTTTCAGCCTGTTCTGCCTCGAGTCAGTGGTGACCACTGCACTACAGACTCTGAACATTTTAACTGGATGACACAAAAACATACCTTCACCTAATTAGAATTAGAGTGTTCTTGCTCTGAAGTTAAGTTTTAAATGTGCAAGTATGTTATGCGCTTAAAATAGCGCTCTTCTAGGATTTAAATCTGTGTTTTTTCATGACACACTTGTTTGTAGTTTTGCAGAAACTTACAGGGTCTTTGCTGTCACTTTGAGATGTTCAGTGTTTCATTTCTGGTCTGCCATGATGGTCCACTAAGCCAGCAGTTCTGATGAGGGGATGGGGGGTCTCTGTCACCTGGATGATGAGGGAATGAGGGGTCTCTGTCACCTGGATGATGAGGGAATGGAGGGTCTCTGTCCCCTGGATGATGAGGGAATGGGGGTCTCTGTCACCTGGATGATGAGGGTATGGGGGGTCTCTGTCACCTGGATGATGAGGGAATGAGGGGTCTCTGTCCCCTGGATGATGAGGGAATGGGGGATCTCTGTCCCCTTGGTGATGAGGGAATGGGGGGTCTCTGTCACCTGGATGATGAGGGAATGGGGGTCTCTGTCCCCTGGATGATGAGGGAATGGGGGGTCTCTGTCACCTGGATGATGAGGGAATGGAGGGTCTCTGTCCCCTGGATGATGAAGGTATGGGGGGTTTCTGTCACCTAGGTGACTTAGCCAAACTGACTTTCTTCTGGGTT